GGGGGGGGGGGGGATGATATATTTTTCTGCCTTTTCTCCATGTCTCCTGACATATTTTCTATGGGGTTTAGGTTTGGGTTTTATCTTACACCAGGACATTGTCAAGGAACCGATGACTGGCTGTTTTTTTGACTTTCTAGATTATTAGGTGGGGGGCGGGGGGGAGATTTCTGACAAGGAAACAACAACAACAACAAAAAGAAGGATTGGGAACGCGGGACTGCTTGTTGGAGGGCTGCCAGTTGGCTTTCTCGGCATCAGTGGAAGTGCGTGCGTGCGTTAGTGTGTGTGTGTGTGTGTGTGTGTGTGTGTGTGTGTGTGTGTGTGTGTGTGTGTGTGTGTGTGTGTGTGAGAAATCCTTAAACGTGGCTAACGAGAGGTCGAGCCCCTTAGCGGCTGCAGGCTTTTAGCTTTCACACACACAACTCTGTGCTGTGCTGCGCTCAGTTCCAATGCGTCCAACAAGATCACAACGCCGAGTCGCCGAGGACAAAGCACCGCCATTGACCCTGCCCTTAACGCACTTTAATTGTTTAATTGATCGCCAATCGCCTGCTTCATAATCAATTGGGTAAATCCACGGTGGTCTCTTGAGCGCAGAGCTGGAGTCTCGATGACAAGCCAATCAAAGGGGACAACTAAGTGGCCATAAGTGGACTCAAGTTTTAAAAAATAAAATAAAATAAAATAAAAAATATCGTTGAGGTGTGTGAGTGACAAAGTTGAATAAAAATACAAGCCTTCAAATTGAACCTGGTGGAAATAAAACATGTCTGTATTGTATTGTATTCCTTTAGCGTAGCTCCATATAGTGGATGCATAATGCAACCGCGGCCACGATTGTAGCTTCTATTCTCTGCGTCTTATAATGCGGTGCGCCCGATATACGAAAACTGTTTTAAAATAGGCCTTTCATTGAAGGTACGCCTTATACCCTAAAGCGCCTTACAGTGCGGAAAATACGGTACTACATTTAAAAGCATTACAAACAAATAGAATTTAAGACTTTTAAAAGTGAAGCAAAGACATGAAAATTAGAAGCTAAAATGACAAAAAGAACCTGAATCAGATTTTAACCTGCATTGAAAAGCAAAACTCCGGTCAAATTTCACTCTCATTTTAGGCTGAAGCAGCGATTGAAGCATAACTTCTTGATGTCCTTGAAAACTGTCAGATTGCGACCAAATTTGAGTCACATAAAATAAGACAGAGGGCAAATGATCAACTGTGACACCCCCCACCCCAAAAAAAGGGCGAAATAATTCAATGTCTCACGTTAAAGTTTCGAGGGTTCACGAAGCGTTACCCACAGAGTGCACAATGTGTTGACACGTTACAGCACGCATGTGTATGTGTGTATTTAACGAACGTCACACACTCAGCAGAAGAAAGCTTGGCCAATAGTCACGAGTCCCCTGGGGGTCAGGGCAATATTGATGTGACCACCGCTGTGCGGCGTGCACGTGTGTCATTCTATCATCGGCAAAGGGCAAAAGCTGGCGCCGACACAGTGAAACATGCCAGTAACCTCTAAGCACTGCACTGCAGCTCAAGTAGGACTCTGCACGTGCGTGAGACACCTGGGAGGACGATTTGACAGAGTGGCGAGGCTCAGCCAGAGGATGAATAACTGACCTATCACATCCCCATTGACTGAGTTAATTAATATAAGTAGAGGCGAGGATCCCGAGCTCACTTTTCACCGTATGGATTTGCTGTCTGCTCACATTTGGCGGCTTTTTATGTCCATTCGATGCAAATCCAATGTCTCGTGTCCCGGGGCCCGATCATGACAGCTAATTTTGGCACGCCGGCACGCTTTTGACGGGCGCGTGTTTTTATTGGGGTGCCACGCGAGGCTCTCGGTGACGGATGGGTTTTTGAGATTTCACCTGAATGCGTGTCTACTCGAGGCACTGAGAGGTGCTAAAAGGCAGGCGGTGCACTGCGCGTTGCCGGCTAGTCCAGTCCTACACAGGTCTTTCTTTGGGGTTTGATTGATTTGGTTACTACCAGATTGACCGTTTTTTCATTCGATTGATTTATATAGAGCTATTTGGGAGCATTTATTTATTTATATTTACTGTATGCATTGTCAAGAGCAGTGATTCTCAAAGTATAGTACATGAGCTTCCACTGGTGGTGCGCGAAAGAACTACAGCCGGAGTAAGGTTCAGTTGTCATTGAACTTTCCATTTTCCTGTTAACCACCTGAGCCTTCTTTCCCGGACAACTAGTTCTTTCTTGGTACTTCCTGCTTGCCTGTCCCCATGGCTGTTTGTTGTTGTGATGAAGTCAACTCAACTTTATTTATAGAGCACTTTAAAAAAAACATCCATCGCTGCATACAAAGCGTTGTTCATGGAGTACTGATTTGATGGAACCCAGGGGCAACAACTACAATGAAAACAACAGGGGCCCTAAAGTTGAACCTTGTGGAACACCTAACAGTGGAGAAGTGCAGGACTCAGAACAACCAAATCTAACTCAAGACTTCTGTCTGCCAAGCAGGATCTGAACAACACCAACAACACAGTCTTCACACACCCACAGGATTTAGCACTCACGAGAATCTCTCTAAGACATCTGATAATTGGCCTTTCAACTTTGACTTGATTGTTGGTATGCATACAGCCTGTTTTGTCATTTAAGGGACTTTTGATTTAGATCGGCGCCCTCTGGTGGATCAAGGGCCATAATGTTTAAAAGGTTCCATGGAAAACTGGTGTTGGACTGGAGAAC